TGACGTAAAATAATAATTGTTTTATTTCTTCCCAAAAGAATTTATAGAAGTTTGATGAAAGGCCATCCTGTCCTGGAGCTTTCCCTAAAGAGAGTTTTTTGAGTGCCATATCTAATTCATATAACTGAAATTCAGAGTCACAAAGATCTTTGAAATCAGTGGTTATTATGGGAATAAAATGTTTATTATTTTGAAATATGGAATTCGCTTCTTCTTTAGAAAAGGATGAGGAATATAGTTCTTTATAAAATTTGTGAGCCTGATCAGATATCTGTTTAAAATCTGAACATTCAACATCATTTATCATAAGCACATTAATTGCATTTCGTTCTTGTCTTCTTTTTTCCAAGCTACAAAAGTAAGCTGTATTTTTCTCTCCCTTTTCTAGCCATTTGGCTCTGGATCTTACATATGCTCCACGAGCCTTTCTCACATACATCTCATCCAGTTTTGATTGAAGGTTCATGAATTTAATTTTATCTGATTCCAACATGGGTGATGCCCTACAACATTTATCAATGTCTTGTACTAATTGCTGTTCCTGTTTTCTTATCTCTATACTTCTCTTCTTCCCAAATTCAATTGAAATTTGTCTTACTTTAAATTTTAAAAATTCCCATCTATTACAGTAACTACCCAATGTTAAATCAGAACTAATTTCTAATATTAGATCTTTGATTAATTTGCAATACTCCTCACACTTTAATAGATCGGCATTAAATTTCCAATATGTATGTCTCTTGTTATTATTTAATGACGATTGAACTTCTAAGGACAGGAGGCAATGATCAGTTAAAGGTGCACCCGACATTGATACTTTTGCCACAGAATTTGCCAGTTCAGGTGTCGAAAGCCATAAATCAATTCGAGTTGGTTTTATCCAGGAAAACTGAGAGATATTCCTATTTCTATCTCTCCAGATGTCAATAAGTGTAAGTGTATTGCAGAATTCAAGTAAAGTAACATTATAATGATTATTGCTAAATTTAGATGGACACCTATCAAGCCATTCATCAGGTGCCATGTTAAAGTCTCCACCCAACAAAAGGTTAGTGTTATAAAGTTGTTTGTATTCATTGATTACTTCAGATATTTCTGACAACATAAGCTTATTCCGGTTAAGGTTATTGTACCATAAACACATAAATGTTAATTGCAATTAACAGCGAACCCTCGATATTTAGAACAATTGCCAACCAGTGTCCATTTTTATCTGCTTTATGTGTTATCATATTTCCTGGAGATCTATTGAAACCAATTGCAACGCCAGCAGATTTATTTGATCCATGACTGAAAAGCATGGTGTCTCCCCACTGTTTTGTCCAGAAGTTGTCATCTGCTGCACATGAGTGTGTTTCTTGAAGGAAGACATATTGAGCTTTCTGTCCTTTGCAGTATAAAAAAAGCTTTTCTTTTAACATTGTCCTTAAGTCCCCTTGTGTTCAGAGAAATAAAAGATAAATTGGCTTTCAAAACGATCATTGCTGGTTAACCTCTCAGCAGACAAGGAATAGGATAAAACAAAGAACAAGTAAGAAGAGGAATAGTACTTTTTGGCTGAGAGTAGGAAATGATTTCCTCTGTAAACATTCCCCCACCTATATACCTCACATCTCGATGCGACGACCATTTATGTATCCAAATGGCCCCCGAAAGTAGGCCTTCTCTCCCGCCTGGCTGTTCTTTGGCCACAACGCTGCTCTAGCTTGTCTGTCCTCCTCGGTAAGGTCCTCCATAAATTTCACTCCAGCCTCCCTGCAGACAGTCGACTCTTTAGTTAGCTTCCAAACCGCATCCCGATGTTGTCTTCTTGTGAATTGGATAATGATGTTGCGTGTTCTGTTCTCCGTCCTTCGGCCAAGTCAGTGTACCGTATCCACTATATCATCTTCTGCTCCCATTGTGGTGTAATTTTAACGAGGAGACTTATTATTTCATCTCTCGTGTTTTTGTTCATTTTTTTCCGGCAGACCTTTGACTCTTAAATTCCATCTGCGTTTGTAGCTATCCTGCTCTCTTGTTTTTTCTTGTAATGCATCATAATTCACTCGCAGGTGTTCTAATTCTTTCTCCATCTTTGAGACCTTAGCTTTGCAGTCTTTTAACTCCATTGCGTTGAATTCTGAGGCTTTGGTTAAGCTAGCTATTGCCATGCAATTCTGCTTCATTTGCATGCTAAGGTCTTCTAGCTGTGAGTTGCATCTGGTTGCCAACGCTTCAATTGCAGCCAAGATAGTAGCTGTTAGGTAATTTCTTAGTCAGATAGATATTTGTTGTATTAGAAATGTTTAGTGGAGCCAGGCTGTCTAGCTCAGGCTGTTAAATGCTTAGTCATTCTTATGAATTTTGTGCAGGCTGCATGTGGGCCAAGGACAACTAGATAGAAAAAGTCTGCAGGCAGGGGGTTATTGCTATTATTATGATATGTGTAACTGTAATGGTAATCATAATATTTTCTTATGTGTAATGTCATGTCAAAATGTTCTTAGATACACACCACTAATCAACAGCCACACACACATTGATTTTCTTCATGTTTTGACTATTGTTATGGTCAGCTCCAAAGCTGGCATATCAGGTGACGTCACGGTTTGACGTTCCTGTGTAGCATGGGCTAGCCCAACCAAGTGATAAAATTGTATAGGCATTATGGTTCTGGGTTTTTTCACTTGGTCTGCCTGCGTGCAGGTCGGAGGTGGAAGAGATCTGGACGTGTAATGTTAATTTTACCTGTGATTCCTTGAATAAACCAGCACGGTTATTTTTTATATATCCAAGTGGTCTACTTCGTCTTTGTGAGTTCCTGGTTAAAAGAGCTTATATAGCATTTGAGACTTCATCGTCCTTTGTTTTTGTTACCTTTCGGAGATGAGCTCCTTTCGACGGAATTGACTGTGATGTTTCGTCGAAGTTCCTCTTTTCACCGGAGCTATTAGTTTCCATGAGGTTTTCCTTAGCATATCCATGTTCTGCGTTCACCATTTAACACATCTTTAGTTTAGGGCCTGACCGGTTCATTTTGTGGCTAGTTCTTTCATAAAAGTACTTTGTAGAATTCCAGTATAAAGTTGAGGTGGGGATATCACAAACTTATTAATTGTTTGAGGAAAGGATTTTAACAACGACACTACAATGCAACCGCTCAGTCCCATCTTTGCAGAAGTCCAGGTCTCCGCTTCTCTTAGAAAGGAAAATGGCAGCTTTCGGACGCGTTTCTTAGATGTTGCAGAGGTCTTACTTGACTCAAGTCTGGCGTCAGCTTTCCTCCGCTACTGCTGCTGGTGGACGTGTCGGAAAGTCAGGTAACTGTAGTTTCTCGTGTTTAACTCGATGTATGTTTTTGACAGCATTATGTTTTACAGTGACCTTGCTGAGCTAGCGTTAGCCATGCAGCATCTTAGCGTCTTTGAGCGGAGGCACATAAAACAGGGTAGCCTAACATTAAATGGGGCGACTGTGGTTCAGCGGGTAGAGCAGTCGCTTCCCGGTCGGAGGTTCGAATCTCGGTGCCTGTAGTCCACATGTCGAAGTGTCCTTGGGCAAGACACTGAACCCCCAAGTTGCCCCCGATGTTTAGAGCCATCGGCGAGTTGGCGCCGCAGATGGCTTGCCTCTGTCATGTACCGGAAACAAATTCCTTGTGTGTGTAACATACTTGGCCAAATAAAGGTGATTATAACCATCTTTCAAGCTCATTAAATTGTAAATTCAGCCTGTCACCATAAAGTATTAATGCAGGCGGTTATATTACTGCAATTTCAGTTTACATTACTGTGTTATTTATATGGTTTGAAAGTGGAGCAAAAAGACCTGCAGCTGAAGTGCAACATGTCAGCTCAATGAATGACAGGGGCACCAGGCTGCAGACAATCAGCAGCAAGTTCTGCAATATTAGAAGCTATGTACAAACACCATTTTACTCCACACCGATTTGGAATAACAGATATATGGCAAATCTTTAGTGGAAACAACCAGGCACAAGGACAGTTTCTTCCCCCAGGCCATCACTCTGATTAACACTTAACCCATGATGGTATGACTGGTCAATAACCCTCAGTGCAATAATTGTAAATATTCCTTGTACATAAAGACCCTTAGCATGCACCTAGACTGTGTGAATATACAGGTCTCTAAGTACATTATATTTGAACTTATTTCCTAATGTACATTCCTCTTGCTTGTTCACACATTACTTTCTCTCCTTTCTGTTCTCTCAGCCTTATGTTGATCACCTGCCCATTGCTGCCTTACATAAGGACATATACATGCACATTGAGAGCCACTGTGCCAGAGTCAAATTCCTTGGGTGTCCAACAGACCTGGCCAATAAAGCTGATTCTGATCTAAATACTCTTCTTGTATTGTAGGACGGGGTGATGGTCCTCGGTGCAACACACCGATACAAAAAGTAGTATGTGACCACTCTTCTCTACAAGCCAGTATAATCCAAAGAACCATGATCCAGCCTCTTTATTTTGACATCATATGTATTGTTAATCCAGTTGTTGTACACAGCTGATATTTGGATTGTTTTGTTGAAACTGGACCAAAAGGTCTTCCTCATTTGTCTGAGCTGTCGTATCTTCGTGGATATTTTAGTTGCTGCACAGTGTCTGATCCAACCATACAACCTAAAAACAGGGGTCAAGTGAGGTTTTCTTTGCATGCTCACTTAATCCAGATGACGTTGATTGACTGAGCACATTTAACTAACGTTCTGCTTTCAGGTAAGGTAATTCCTAGAAACAAACCCAAGCTTCTGTTGGTTCATTAACAAAACGACAAAAACAAAAAACCACGTAATTTTCCATATTAACTGACTTGAAATTGGATTAAACTAAATGTTAAATATGTTTTTAAAGTACAAGGATAAAGCACAGCTGGAGCCTCTGCCACAAAAACCCTTCATATGTGTGTAAATAGACAAGAGGGAGAAATTCAGCTGGAAGGCAACATGAGTCTCACTTTATTTCTTATGTTAAACTGATACATAGCGATAAATGAAATTTTTGAAAACATGTTTCAAATCCACCATTCTTTTTTTTTTTTAAGGGGCATGGATTTTAACAGACTTTGCGATTCAGGTTCTTGTTTCCAGGGTTGTATGTGGCCTTAGCGAAGCAGTAAGCTGCTTCCCGATCACACTTGCACACAGCAGCCTGGCACCTATTGTTGGTAGCTGGAGAGACAGTTGAGTCAGTGAGTGAGTAGCTGCTGAATAATAAAACATGGATCACACTTAAAACATAATGCTAATAGTCTGGTTGTGTACTTATCACTTAGAGCTTTGTAGTGTGGGTAACAAATCTCAGTCCTTGACTGTGTCATTCCTACTGTGTGTATATACACATATGTATATTGGTTTGAACACAGCTACTTACTTTATAGCATATCTATGCACTAGGTTACAAGTACAGTCTTAAATTTATTGTCAATAGTCAAGTGACACTCTGCTATTCACTGAATGCTATCAGTGTTGTTCTGTTAATCAGCCAAAAAAAGTTTTTATATAAACACTCAGGTAAATACTGTGTTTATAAACACACACTTAGATATACTTGTGTTCATTCCCCTCCAAAAAGTAGGATTTAAAATTTTATGAGATGTTGTGTAATTTTGACCAGTATCATCTCAGAACATTTCCAGTTTCGGTCTTAGAATTTCATCAAGGCATAGCTTCACAGTCATTCAGAATGGTAAGAAACTGATGTCTATGTATACGAGTGTGTCAAAGCGCCTCTAGTTTATCCCAGTCACAGTCTTACCTGAGCAGGTCACTTGCTGATTTGAACAGGTGTAACCATAAACCAGGATGTAGGGATGTTGCATAAGGGAGTCACATCCAGACACATTTCTGTTTGTGTCATAGCACTTATCATGAACTTGACAGCACCTGAGAATACAGGGGAAACAGTTCATATCCCAGGCTTATTTTAGAAATGGTTTGGAACCAAAACTGCAGAATTGCCTGCTTCCTACATGTCCACTTCATCCCGAGGAGCCCCCACCCCTCCTCCGATGCCACACCAGCAGCCGTAATTGTCGTATGCTAGAGGGTTAACACCAGGCTGGACACAGCTGATCATCACCCCAAGCTGCCACAAGGCACCGCTGGCCATATGAGCTGATAAAGATATGCAAGGTAGATAAACAGAAAATGAGTGGCTCAGGAGAAAATAAGTACTTCTAATGCGAAAGATAGAACAATGATTGAGAGAACTTCACAAGGAGTATTTAAACAGATGCACATTTTACAATAAGTCTTGTAAAAGATTGATACATATTGATGGTTTCTACAGTCTTACCAGTGAGAAGCAGCACCAGAGCAGCTGCCAGATTCATGGCTACAATCAGAAGAACCTGAAATTTGGCTGAAGCCTGCTTTTATAGAACAGGAGGTGTGAAAATTCTAGAGGAGAACAAGGGGGTCGGGGCTTTTAATGATGTGTTGTTTATCAAGACCTAATCATGTAGCTGGTCTGTAAGACCAGTGCATTTTGTTTTGACTTTCTTTCAGTGATGAAATGTAACCACATTTACTCAGTCGCTGTACTTAAGATGTTGGAGGTGCTTGTTCTTGAAGAATTGTATTTCATCGTATTTAATACTTTTACTCCACTAAATTCAGAGGCAACATATATTATATTTTAATAAGTCAATAGATTAAACAGATAAAAGACAATCACAAATAAAATATTGGAAGAAATAAAACTTTTAAAAACATCAATACAGTAAAAATGAAAAAACAATAGATAATGCCCTTAAAATGTTCCAATCCAAAGCCTAGCTAAAGGGGTAGATTTAAAGTTACCTGAACGTTTTCAGCTGTTCCCAGATCCTCAGGCAGACGATTCTGACAACCTAGCTGTCAGAAACTGCGTGCGTAATGCGGCCTAAAAGTGTTGTGAACTCAATTAAATGACCAGACGAGGAAGTGTAAAACAAAACCGTCTCTTTACTAAGAGAACTAAAACCATACAAGACACGGTGGAAACAAAAACTCACGGTCAGTATCGGTCCCAGGTCAGAGCCAGCAAACACGTACATCCAGGGGAATCCAAAGTGCGTAGTCCGAAGGGAGTGTCCGATAAGCCGATACTCATAAGCAGTCCGAGATAAGAGGGCAAGGCAAACACGTACATCCAGGTAATCCAAAGTGCGTAGTCCGAAGGGAGTGTCCGATAAGCCGATACTCATAAGCAGTCCGAGATAAGAGGGCAAGGCAACCACGTACATCCAGGTAATCCAAAGTGCGTAGTCCGAAGGGAGTGTCCGATAAGCCGATACTCATAAGCAGTCCGAGATAAGAGGGCAAGGCAGAACAGAGTAATCCAATAAAACAGTCCGAGTCAGAAACACAAATACCAAAAACCGAATATAGTGCTGGAAAGTCAGAGCTGGGGTCTAGAACAATCTGGCAGCGTCCTTGTGGGAAGACGCTGCCTAAATAGAGGTGTAAACAGGTGCACATAATAACGAAGCAGGTGAAACTAATGTGAGTGATGAAGAACGTAAAAAGACCGA